TCCCTTCTACTTTCCCTATTCTTTCCTTCATATCCTCATGAAGTGCCTGTATAATGGTTTTTAATACTGTTTGCATCACATTTGCTTTCTCTTGCTGTAACATGGCATCCAAGGACCTCTGACCAGCTGGACTGGAAGTTGCAGATGCTGCTGCTGAAGATGATGCAGATTTTGCTTTCTTCATTTTATAATGTTTTAGTATTTGTAATCAACCAAAAGTAAAAAGTATAATTCTGTTATAATTAAGGAAAAAGTAAAAATATAAATTATGATCCAAATCCAAATATTGTCATTCTTTGGGACCTATCTTTTTCTTCAGGTTCTTCAAACCCTAATCTATTTTTTCTCAGAAGAAAAGGAATTAATAGAATAGTAAATTGTAATCCAAGTAAGTCCACCAAGCCCAAGCGTTCAACCAGCCAGTTATTTTATATCGAAAAAGAGAGTTCACAGAGCAAGAGAAAAATCAAAGAGAAGGGGAGATATTTTACTGTTCAGCTTTTCTTTTGCTTTAACTGTTTTGTTTTCATTTATGTTCCAAGAGCCACACTATTTGAAAAAGACAGAGAAAAAGAAAAGTTCCAGTTTTCCACTCTCTGTCTTAGTTCTTCAATCAAAACAGCTGCTTATTTTTGTATTCTCAGGCTCTCAAGGTTATGTTTATATGCTTGTATATTTTCTCCTTTCTCTCTTATGTCTTCCAATTTTAACTTTTGCCTATAAATGGCATTGTTGCTCTGCTTCTCTCTTTTCTTTCTCCTTTATATTGTATATCCCACTGCAAATTGTAAAATATGTTATATATGATAATACCCAAACAAAGCTGAATACCATATATATATAAGTTTCTATATAATCAGTTTTACAATATTCCAAAAGTTTCTAACTTAAAAATATTATATTTTAAAGTACCCAGTCTGGTTTTCTAAATATGCTTTTTCAACAAGTCTGTTACCCAACCTCCTATTCCAATAATGGCTCTTAAAGCTTTCTTTGCTGCTTTTCTTCCAGAGGTGGAATAGAAAAACTAATTCCACCTGTACTTTGGGTCTCACTTTCACTCAGTTGTTTCCCAGGGAGCTCTTTCTTCTATAAATATTAGAAATTCAGAGTTGAAAGTCTCTCACCCTGATCGATCACACCGTCTTTCTGTCTTATCTCTTCTTCCAGTGGCTATCCCAGCTTCATAAGGGCATGCAATGGCCACCTTCCCTGGCTGCCGAGTTGGAGAGCCTTCTCCAGATCAATCAGGGAGATTGTGGGCTTCCTGAGGACAGCAGAGTGTGCTCTCTTCATTTGTCACCCCTCTGAGGCAATTTAGATCCATGTTGACCTTCTGGCAGCTTGGATGTCAGTGGTCCCACAGAGCTCCCGTGAGGCACATCATATCACTGTGACATTAGCCCACCCACCCACCCCACTTTCAGGGTTTTCCAGGTAGACGATGGATGCATTACTTGCTCTTAAGATAAGAATCCTGAGTCACTCATCTTCACCTTTAAAATCAGGGAAATCACAATGAGCCAGTTGGAGATACAGGAACTGTGGTTTGTCTATTTTGTTCCAACCTTGAAACACCTTATGAGATTTTTCAGTTATGCGTTAGGGGCAACTAGTTCCTAGTGAGGCTGAGCAAACTTCTGGTTCTCCATTTCTAATTAAACAAAAACACATAAAGGTTAATCCAAGATTAAGATTGTTAGCACAGTCACTCATGCCCCAGTTCCAGCTGGACTACTGCATAGGAAACGATACTGGGAGACTTCCGGTTTGTCGGCTTCGCGAGCGGCAGGGATTTGCGAAGCTGCGCGATCCCTGCCGCGCTAGCCGTTTTTGGGGCTCCGACCCAGACGGGTACGGAGCTAGGCTGCCCTGCAGGGGCAGCTGAAGGTAGGGGGGATCCGGAGAAGGGACTGGGGGTGTTGCAGACCCCCTCCCTGGCCGGCAGAACCCCCTTTTCCCAGGACGGTGCAGCGGCGGTCCGTAATGGCCGCCACAAAGAAGCTGGCAGCCGGGTAAGAATGCGCAGGAGGAAGTGGAGAAAGTGCTTGAGAGGAGAAAGTTTTTCTTGGCTCCTAGGACTCTAAGACATATTTAATAAAATTCCTGAAAAGTATGACTTTCTGAATAATACCTGCCAGAAGAGGAAAAAAGCGGCTGTTTGAAGGTGCTGAAAGGATAGCTTTCCCTCTTTTCCTACGGAATAAATAACTGGATATTAAGAAACCTATTTTTTTAGGTGAAAATTGGTTTTAAGCGATGAGTGGGAAGAGAGAGGATTAAAAAGAAAATATTTGTATGCTAAGACTTTGTTGGAGCAGATGCCTTAAGGATTTGAAGACTAGAATATATTGTAATAAGATTTTAAACAGATTTGGACTTTCTTTCTCTTTGATTGATATTACCCCAGAAGGAGAAAGTGAGAACTCTGCCTTGGTTTGGACTGATTGATAACTTTGGGACTGTTTTATCTTTTTTATTTTCTTTTGAATATTCTGGTTGTTGTAAGAAGAAAGAAGGAGAAAAGAAAAGAAAAGATTTATAATGGCTCTTTCTGTTGAGGAACTAAGAAAAGAATATGAGCAAGCAAAAAAAAATGGTAAAGATGGTGTGGAAGAAGCTTTCCTTTTCTTAGAAATGGCGCTTACTAATTATCAACAAACATTACAACAGATGAAGACAGCAGAGGAACAAGAAAGAAAGGAAGGAGCCATCTTTAATGAATCTCAGAATTTGATCCAGAAAGAAGGAAGAGAGAAAGAAAAGAAAAGAAGAGAAAAGAAGAAAACTAAAGGACTTAAGGACTTAAGATCTAAAAAAACATTTAAGAAAGGGAAAAATAAAGTGCAAAACCAATATGATGATAGTAAACAAAAGGGAAAAGGAATACGACAGAGAAGGGAAGCCGGTAAGGCAGAGGCTAGAAGAAGGGGGGGTAGAAAGGTTTGTTGGGAGAAGAAAGAAAGGGAAAAGGTGGAGAAAAGCTACAATGTTTTGAAATTAAATGAAAAAAAGGAATTTTTTATGGATAATGGATAAAGTATAATTTTTTTTAAAAAAAAAGATTTTGCAAGGTACATAAGATGAGATGGTAGTATTGCAATGGTTTAAGAGTTGACAAGAGATTAAAATGTTAAAATGTTTAAAAATGATTGGCTTTAAAACTTAATAATAGGAGAGGTTTAGAATATTGTTTTAATTAAAGAGTTTAATAAAATTATGGTATTGATGTTATTATAAAATTTTTATTATAGTATTTTTTTTTAATATTTGGATTTATTGTCTAATTATGCACTTAATTGTGTTGGATGTATTAGTTAGATAGAATGTACCAAGCAAAATCTGATTGGGTATTAGATATTATTTTAAAGATTAATTTGATTAACTTAGGGGGGAGATAGAAAGGCATCATACTCTGATTAATGATTTCAGGAGAAACTGGTTTTCTTTTTTTTCATAAGGAATGAGACAAAGGGATGATAAAAAATGGACAAAAGATACAAATATAATGATTCAAACTAAGATGATTAATTAAGGTAGAATTAAGAAGTGTGAAATATGTGGAGAAGTTAATATAGAAGGCTTAGAATGGTAAATAAAATAAGTAATGATATGTAAGATGAGCATGAATATAATTGAAGTCCATGAAGAGAGAGACACCTGGGTCCAAGTTACTTTCCAAAAAGATTTTTTTTATGTTTTGTGTGTTGTGTGTATATGTCTTTTTTGGGGGGAGAATTAGTAAAAACTTGTAGAAATATAGAATGAGAATAATGGTAACTAAGTCAGAAAGAAACAGATGAAATAATAATAATGATATTGAATAAGAGTAAAGAGAAGTAAAGAGAAATTGAATAAGAGGTTTTGGTATGTTATATGGAAATGGTTTAAAACAGAATCATAATTTATCTGACTTGTTAAATTTACAATGGAAAAAGGTTTAAACATGTAATGAATAATGATAATTTGTGTGTTTTAAAAATTAATAAAACTTGTTTAAAAAAAAAAAAAAGGAAACGATACTGGAAAACATAATAAAAAACCAGATCTGCCAACATCTAGAAACAAGTAAAGTAATAACTAGCAGTCAGCACCAATTTGTTAAAAACAGATCATGCCAAACCAATCTTATTTCATTCTTCAACATAGTGCCTAATTAGTAGACCAGCAAAATACTGTGGACATAATATATTTACATTTCAGCAAGGCATTCGACAAAGTAGACCACAACCTACTTCTTAGTAAGCTAGAAAAAAAGTGGAATAGATAGCACCACCACTAGTTGGACTCGTAACTGGCTGACAAACCGTACTCAATGAGTAGTCCTTAATGGGTCTAAGTCTACATGGATAGAAGTAAGCAGTGGGGTGCAACAAGGTTCTGCCTTAGGCCCAGTACTCTTCAATATCTTCATTAACGACTTAGATGAGGGAATAGAAGGGGAACTTACCAAATTTGCAGATGATACTAAGCTGGCAGGAATAGCTAACACCCAAGAAGATAGGCTCAGGATCCAGATGGATCTTGACAGACTAGAACACTGGGCTGTATCTAACAAAATGAAATTCAATGTAGAGAAAAGTGAAGTCCTACACTTAGGCAAGAAAAGCCAAAAGTGCACATATAGATGGGTGAAACAAGGCTCAATAGCAACAAATGTGAGAGGAACCTTGGAGTCTTAGTGGACAACCAGCTAAATATGAGCCAGAAGTGTGCAGCCGCCGCCAAAAAAGCTAATGCAATCCGAAGTTGCAATAACAAAGGGATACAATCGAGATCAAGTGAGTTACTAATACCACTCTATAAAGCCTTAGTAAGACCACACCTAGAGTACTGCATCCAGTAACCACATTATAAAAAAGATGTTGAGACTGTAGATCTAGAAAAAGCACAGAAAAGAGCATTAGGGGACTGGAGACTAAAACATATGAAGAACGGTTACAGGAACTGGGCATGTCTAGTCTAGTGAAGAGAAGGACCAGGGGAGACATGGTAGCAATCTTCCAATTTTGAGGGGCTGCCACAGAGAGGAAGGAGTCAAGCTATTTTCTAAAGCACCTGTAGGCCAGACAAGGAATAATGGATGGAAACTGAACAAGGAGAGATTTAACCTGGAAATAAGGAGAAATTGTCTGACAGTGAGTACAGTCAACCAATGGAACAGCTTTCCCTCAGAAGTTGTGGGAACGCCATCACTTGAGACTTCCAAGAAGAGACTGGACTGCCATTAGTCAGAAATGGTGTAGGGTCTCCCGCTTAGGCAGGGGGTTGGACGAGATGACCTATAAGGTCCCTTCCAACTCTGATTATCTGTTATCTGTTATAGGGCTACCCTTGAAGAGCATTTGGAAGCTACAACGGGTACAGAAGGCAATGCCACTTACAGTCCCGGAGGCCTCTGGCATGGCATACATGACACCAATGTTACACAAGCTGCACAGATTGCCCATCATCTTGTTTGTTTAATTTTTAACTTTTATTCCGATTATAATTGTTTTTAGCAATTTCTAACCTTTTATTATATTGTAGGTCACCCAAGAGATAAGCAAAAGAGCAGGCTTCTCATTACTCCATTCTTTTTAATTAGAATGAATTCACTGTTTTCTTTTCAGGGATGTAAAGTGTGGCAAGTTACACTGCAAAAAGGGACACGTGATATGCATCTGCTTTGTTTCACCAGATGACCCAGATTATGGAATGGCTGAACCTGGAACAAAATGTGGAGATGGAAAGGTTAGTAAAAGATTACCTCTAACCTATGTGCTCGGATTCCAAAGGTTGATCACTAAAAATGTAACAATAGATTTTGCTGGTTTATATTTTCCACAGTACAGTGAATCTGCATAGAAGGAAAAGTAATCCTCTAGCCCAGGGGTTGCCAACCTTTTGGACCTCAGTGACTACCAAACTCATAATTTTAAATCCCAGGGACCATTAACCGGTTTTGTGGGTGTGGCCTATTTTGTGGGTGTGGCTTGGTGGCCATGTGACTGGCTGGCTTGTATGTAAATATTACAAATATTTATATAAATATAAATATTGATTTTTTTTATAAAAAAGAGCAACTTTTACCCAAAATCAGGCAAAGCGGGCAGGCAGATTGAGTTGCTCACAGAATCACAGATTCATTCAGAGATCTATCTATCTGACATCGGCTAGCTCAGTCTGTCACATAAAATTTGCTTGAAAGAAATCTCATAAAATTAACTCACAACACACCATGTATGTAAATATTGAATTTTTTATTTAAAAAAGAACAACTTTTACCCAAAATCAGGAAAAACAGGCAGGCAGATTGAGTTGCCCACAGAATCATTCAGTGATCCATCTATCTGCCATTGGCTACTTGAGTCTGTCACATAAAATTTGCTTGCCGTGAGTCTGCACTGAATAATAGAACCTTCAGTCCTAAGGGAGGTTCAGCTGTGCTTAAAAGCAGAGGCAAAGATCTAAAGACTAGCTAAAAAGCAAGAAATACAACCATTTCCTGCTTTCTATCTAATCTAAATCTCCCAGCACAGCAGAACAGCTGATGGTTGGAAAAAGGAAAAATAGCAACTTAGCAGGCAAGTTTGCCAGGTAAGGAGTGAGTGGGCGGGGAGGGTTCCCACGGGCCATGTGGGTGGCTCAGCCTTGTGTTTCTGTGCAGCCTGGATTAATTGCTTTGGGGGGGGTGCTCTGGGGGTGACATTTCTCTGAGGCCCACCAAAATTTTCTCTTGGCCACTGCTCCAGCCTTCTTTTGGTTTTCTTCTTTTGTTTTTCCTTCAAACAACCACAACAAATGAGGCGAATGTCCAGGGCTGTTTCTTTCTTCTAAGAACAAAATGCCTGGCCTTCTCAGAGCCTTGTGCTTCTCCCTTGCAAGCACTTTCTCAACAGACTGTCAAGAGACAATCCTTTCTCTTAACTTGTAGGTATCTTCATAGGGAAGGTGGAAGAGAGAAATGAGAAAATCAGGGCAGAGCTGGTTGTGGCCTAAAGGCAGGGGTGGGATATGAAGGGTTAACAACCGATTCAGGAATTACGAGTTTCCCTGCCTGCTGTGAGTTGTGCACCTGTCAATCATCATGAGCACATCATTAGCATGCTGCTGCCACCACTGCTGCTGAGAAGCAGCCTTTGAAACAGCCCTCTTTTCTTGTTTTTATAACTGCAGCTGTGCCTCGTTCAGCAGCTGAAGTTGAAAAATCAGGAAATAAAGATCAGGTAACAGCCCGGGTGGGTGAGTGGGCAAAAACATCAGCAGACATAGAACCGGTTCTTTTTCTGCTGCTCTTCAGAGCTACCGGTTCTACAGAGGTGGACAGAACTGGTAGAAACCTACCCCTGCCTAAAGGACACCAGTTCAATGAAGCCACTTAGATGTGCTAAAGCAACCCCAAAGCTTATGTGAAAGGATTAGGAATCACTTCCCCCTGTTTTTTTGTACAATGTAGAACCTTTAAAAAGTTTGGGTTAGTTCTAAGGAATGGCAGAGTTTAGTTGTGTAGGAAAGTGCTTTCATATTCTATTGATAAACTCTTACTTTGACTTTCAGGTGTGCATCAACAGGCAGTGTGTTGATGTGCAGACAGCCTACTGATCAAGCACTGGCTTCTCTCAATTTGATTTTGGAGATCCTCATCCAGAAGGCTTCCCTCAAGTCCAAAGAGACCCATCTGTCTTTCTCCTATTAGTAAATCACTCCTAGCTTTCAGATGGTATCTGAAACTTGCAATATTTCTTCTCCATAATTTAATCAGATAATCTTTTGCTATAATCAGATCTTTTCCCTGCCACAAAGCTCCATGGTCATGTACAGCAAGAAGAAAATGGCCATTTTACCGTTTGCCAATTGCAATTCACATTTAATGCAACAAGCTCTGCCCTTTGAGCTGGCATATTCAAAGGCAATGCTCCCTCTCCCAAAATTATACGCTGGCTTTCCAAGAGGTAGCTTCTTCCATCAATAAACTATCCTCATTCTACATTTTGTAAAGGCTCATCTTTCAAATCTGGTTTGCTGAAGTAAACCACATCAAGAACTTGCATGCAATCAGTGGTAAACCATCCAGGTGATTTATCTACTGGTACCAAAGAAGTTGGATTTAGATTATTCATAGTCACCTGTCTCATTCTGAGACAGTCTGTCTCATTCTAGCTCAGAAAGAGCCCCTAAGTATAAATCATTCACATATTGCAACACACTTGCTTTTCAAAAGGCAACTGGACTTCCTTGGTTTTTCCTTGAAAATGTTTCACTTCTCATCCAAGATGCTTTTTCAAGTCCAGTTGCCTTTTGAAAAGCACCTCTGAGACAACCATGACCTGGATGATTGAGAATCTCCATAGAAACTGCAACACAGTGCTATTTGTTCCTGAATGGGGGTCCATCTGAGTAGCTCAGAGCCAAGAGCTCTTGAGGGGGAATAGAGAAGGCATCCTTTAAGTCCAATATGGTTAACCATACAAAACAAAGGTGAAATCAAAGAAATCAAAGTAGGATTTTATACTGTAGGGTGAATTGTCACTGTGAGTAAATTGATAATTCTCAAGTCCAGAACCAGATAAAAAGACCCATCATGTTTCTTAATTGGCAGAGCTGAAAATTGAAACAAGTTTTCCCTTTCTTGAGAAGATCATAATGTAGGAAGTGATTAATGATTGGCCTTAGTCCTACTCTAGCTTTCTCCAAAAGAGCATACTGTTTAATTTGCAGAGGTTCCTCTCCTGGTTTCAGAGCAATTTCCACAGGAGGAATATATATAGCTCATCCTGGATTGCTTGTAGCCCAACCCCATGACATAACTGCATTTAAGATAGACTGCCTTGGATGGGGAAGCTATTGCCTGAGTGGGGATTTCAAAACAAGCAATAGGAGTCTCCAGTTGGCAAAAACATCATGATTTTTCCTTGATCAAAAGAAAGAGTGACTTGCCATTTAGAAAGTAAGCCATATCCCAAAAGTGGAGTCAGGCAATCATGCACATTCAAAAAGATAAGTGTCAACTTTTCCCTCTAACATCCATTCCCAAAAGTGGTTAAAAAGGGTTGATGTGGGATTGTCCTGAAGCTCTAACAATAGGTATAAGGTGATTAGATTTAAGACCCAGTGATTTAGTGATTACAGAATGTGTAGCACCCATATCCCAAGGAAATAAATATTTTTACCTCCTACCATAGCAGATATCAAGAGCTGGGGAGGCACTAGGGCCGTTTGAAGACTCCACCCCTGGCTGCTTCATTCTTTGTCTTCCAGCATAAGAAAATATGGGCTGGTAGGCAATTCCCCTGTTTGAATTCAATGGCCCTGCATCTTGCCAATGTCCTATTTCAGGGGTATCAAACTCAAGGACCAGATACCATTGGGACACCCACATCCTTCACGCTTCACACATTGAACCGAAAACCCCCGACACACCAATACTGCACTATACAGCAGAATTCAAAAGAGCTACTGCCCTGGGATAGATTTTCAGCCTATTTGTTCTTTTATTTTTCTTATATTTTATATATATAAAATTATATTTTTTTTTTATTTTTTTTTTATTTTTCTTATATGTACCCATTTCATGTATTCATAACTATGTATATACTTATACCTATTATCTTGTAAGTGATTGACAAATCAAATAAATAAATAAACAAACAAATGAATAAATAAATAAAATATTTCTCCTTTTTATTATTCTGTACTATCTGTCAGATGGTAATAGTTCAAAAAATGGGTTTCCAGGAGGATATATACCTTTAAGAATGTTTTGAACTTTCTTAAGGCAGTGGGAGCTATAAAGCTCTTCCAAAGAGGAGAGAGGGCAACCAATGATCTGGGCAATGATGTGAACCCTCTGGAGTGCTGTCCTATATGCCACT